AGGTAAGCCGAGATCTTCAGAGATCTTAGGTGATGACCGGTAGATATTCTGAGATGATCTGCGATCTGAGATAATCTGAGATCATCTGCCAATCATCTCCTATTCTGAGATAATCTGAGATGATCGGTATATCATCTGAGATAATCTGAGATGACCGGTGATATAATCTGAGGTCTGAGGTCATCTGAGATCATCTGCTAGTTTGAGATAAACTGAGGTCATCTGAGATCATCTGCTTGTCTGGGATAATCTGAGATGACCGGTAGATACTCTGAGATGATCTGCCATCTGTGAGATGAATTGCCAGTCATTTGCTAGTCTGAGATAATCTGAGATGACCGGTCAGATAACTTGATAATACTAATTAATATGATCTGAGATCTGTGGTAGTCTGAGATCATCTGCTAGTCTGAGTTTAACCCGAGATGACCGGTATATAACCGGAGATGATGGAAAATTTGAGGTAATCTGGGATCATTTGCTAGTCTGAGATAATCTGAGATGATCGGTATAGCATCTGAGATAATCTGAGATGAACGGTAAGATAATCAAAGACGATCTGAGATCTGAGGTAATCTGAGATCATTTGCTAGTCTGAGATAATCTGAGATGATCGGTAAGATACTCAAAGACGATCTGAGATCTGAGGTAATCTGAGATCATTTGCTTGTCTGAGATAATCTGGGATGACCGGTAATATAATCTGAGGTGATCTGAGATCTGAGGTCATCTGAGATCATCTGCCAATCATCTGCTAGTCTGAGATAATCTGAGATGATCGGTATATCATCTGAGATAATCTGAGATGACCGGTGATATAATCTGAGGTCTGAGGTCATCTGAGATCATCTGCTAGTTTGAGATAAACTGAGGTCATCTGAGATCATCTGCTTGTCTGGGATAATCTGAGATGACCGGTAGATATTCTGAGATGATCTGCCATCTGTGAGATGAATTGCCAGTCATTTGCTAGTCTGAGATAATCTGAGATGACCGGTCAGATAACCTGATAATACTAATTAATATGATCTGAGATCTGTGGTAGTCTGAGATCATCTGCTAGTCTGAGTTTAACCCGAGATGACCGGTATATATAGCCGGAGATGATGGAAAATTTGAGGTAATCTGGGATCATCTGCTAGTCTGAGATAATCTGAGATGATCGGTATATCATCTGAGATAATCTGAGATGAACGGTAAGATAATCAAAGACGATCTGAGATCTGATGTGATCTGAGATCATTTGCTAGTGTGAGATAATCTGACATGACCGGAACAATAATCTGAGATGACCTGAGCTCTGAGGTAATCTGAGGTCATTTGCTAGTCTGAACTTATCTGAGATGACCGGTATTTCACCTGAGATGATCGGAGGCCTGAGATGATTTGCCAATCATTTTTGCTAGTCTGAGATAATCTGAGATGACCGGTAAGATAATCTGAGATGATGGGAGATCTGAGGTAATCTGAGATCATCTGCTAGCCTAAGATAATCTTAGATGACCGGTAATCTATTCTGAGATGTTCTGAGATATGAGGTAATCTGAGATCATCTGCTAGTCTGAGATAATCTGAGATGACCGGTGATATAATCTGAGGTCTGAGGTCATTTGAGATCATCTGCTAGTTTGTGATAAACTGAGGTCATCTGAGATCATCTGCTTGTCTGGGATAATTTGAGATGACCGGTAGATATTCTGAGATGATCTGCGATCTGTGAGATGAATTGCCAGTCATTTGCTAGTCTGAGATAATCTGAGATGACCGGTCAGATAACCTGATAATACTGTTACTAATAATCTAATATGATCTGAGATCTGTGGTAGTCTGAGATCATCTGCTAGTCTGAGTTTAACCTGAGATGACCGGTATACAACCGGAGATGATGGAAAATTTGAGGTAATCTTGGATCATCTGCTAGTCTGAGATAATCTGAGATGGCTGGTGATATAATCTGAGGTCTGAGGTCATCTGAGATCATCTGCTAGTCTAAGATAAACTGAGGTCATCTGAGATCATCTGCTTGTCTGGGATAATCTGAGATGACCGGTAAGATAATTTGAGATCATCTGCGATCTGAGGTAATCTGCCAATCATGTGCTTGTCTGAGATAGCCTGAGATGACCGGTAATTTAATCTGAGATCTGAGGCAATCTGATATCACCTGCTAGTCCGAGAAAATCTGAGATCACTGGTAGGATAAACTGAGATGATCTGAGATCTGAGGTGATCTGAGATCATCTGCTAGTCTGACATAATCTGAGATGACCGGTATTTGCTCTGAGTCGATGTGAGATCTGAGGTAACCTGAGATCATCTGCTAGTCTGAGATAATCTGACATGACCGGAAAAATAATCTGAGATGACCTGAGCTCTGAGGTAATCTGAGGTCATTTGCTAGTCTGAACTTATCTGAGATGACCGGTATTTCACCTGAGATGATCCGAGGCCTGAGATGCTTTGCCAATCATTTTTGCTAGTCTGAGATAATCTGAGATGACCGGTAGGATAATCTGAGATGATGGGAGATCTGAGGTACTCTGAGATCATCTGCTAGCCTAAGATAATCTTAGATGACCGGTAATCTATTCTGAGATGTTCAGAGATATGAGGTAATCTGAGATCATCTGCTAGTCTGAGATCATTTGAGATGACCGGTAAGATAATCTGAGATGATCTGAGATCTGAGGTGATCTGAGATCATCTGCTTGTCTGAGATAACCTGAGATGACCGGTAATATAATCTGAGGTCTGAGGTATTCTGAGATCACCTGCTAGTCTGAGATAATCTAAGATGACCGGTAGGATAATATGAGATGATGGGAGATCTGAGGTACTCTGAGATCATCTGCTAGCCTAAGATAATCTTAGATGACCGGTAATCTATTCTGAGATGTTCTGAGATATGGTAGTGTGACATAATCTGAGAGATGATTTGAGATCTGAGATGATCTGAGATCTGAGGTAATCTGAGATCATCTGCCAATTATGTGCTACAGTCTGCGATAATCTGAGATGACTGGTAAGACAATCTGAGATGACCGGTATATCACCCGAGGTGATTTGAGATCTGAGATAATCTGAGATCATCTACTAGTTTGAGATAATCTGACATGATCGATAAGACAATTTGAGATGATCTGAGATCTGAGGTACTCTGAGATCATCTGCTAGTCTGACATAATCTGAGATGACCGGTATATCATCTGAGATTATCTGAGATCTGAAATAATCTGAGGTAATCTGAGATTATTTGCTAGTCTGACATCATCTGAGATGACCGGTATATCATCTGAGATGATCTGAGATCTGAGGCAATCTGAGATTACCTGCTAGTCTGAGATAACCTGAGATAATCTGAGACGACTGGTATATCATCTGAGACGATCTGAGATCTGAGGTAACCTGCAGAGACCGTCTGGAGTCTGAATCAATCTGAGATGACCGGTGTCTCATCTGAGATGATCTGAGATCTTAGGTAATCTGAGATCATTTGCTAGTCTGAGATAATCTGAGATGATCGGTATGTATCATCTCAGATGATCTGAGATCTAAGGTAATCTGAGTTCCTTTGAATTAATCTGAGATGACCGATATCTCATCTGAGATGATCTGAGACCTGAGGTAATCTGAGATCATCTGCTAGTCTGAGATAATCTGAGATGACCGGTATTTCACCTGAGATGATCTGAGATCTGAGGCAATCTGAGATCATTTGCTAGTCTGAGAAAATCTGAGAGATGATCTGAGATCCGAGGTAATCTGAGATCATCTGCTAGTCTGACATAATCTGAGATGACCGGTATATCATCTGAGATGATCTGAGATCTGAAATAATCTGAGGTAATCTGAGATTATCCGCTAGTCTGACATAATCTGAGATGACCGGTAAATCAACTGAGATGATCTGAGATCTGAGGTGCTCTGAGATCATCTGCTAGTCTGATATAATCTGAGATGACCGGTAAATCACCTGAGATGAACTGAGATCTGAGGTAACCTGAGATCATCTGCTAGTCTGAGATAATCTGAGATGACCGGTATTTCACCTGAGATGATCTGAGATCTGAGGCAATCTGAGATCATTTGCTAGTCTGAGAAAATCTGAGAGATGATGTGAGATCCGAGGTAATCTGAGATCATCTGCTAGTCTGACATAATCTGAGATGACCGGTATATCATCTGAGATGATCTGAGATCTGAAATAATCTGAGGTAATCTGAGATTATCCGCTAGTCTGACATAATCTGAGATGACCGGCAAATCAACTGAGATGATCTGAGATCTGAGGTGCTCTGAGATCATCTGCTAGTCTGATATAATCTGAGATGACCGGTAAATCATCTGAGATGAACTGAGATCTGAGGTAACCTGAGATCATCTGCTAGTCTGAGATAATCTGAGATGACCGGTTTATCATCTGAGATGATCCCAGATAGTGCGGCCAGATCCAGATCCAGAAGTTGGAGACACCCCAAAGTGCACCGCTCAATGGTCTAGGGAAACGAAAACGACTAGCCATTGGGGCCCCCCAAATGCATTGAAACGTTGCTGATTTCAAGGCCCAACCCAAATCAGTGTTGGCTAGCTATTCAACATGTGTTATTGTATGCCAGTAAACCTCCCCTTTGTTGCCTGTTTACCACCCAAAAATGTTTGGCCACCTTCCCTGTCTTACTTAGCTGTAATAGAGTAAGTTTTTTATCCCTTCAACATGTCCTTTTATACTTTTTACTGACTCATAGTGAATCCATATTTCTCCCATATATCGTTGGGTTGGTTTACGAAAATTTTGCAGGGAAACCCCGATATTTGATGGCCAAGAACACCGTGGTTAAACTATGTTAAGTTGGGGAAGATGCTCCCTTATATAAGCCAAGCCAACAAATATAAAATCCATGTGTTTAGTTATTGTTATTTTGAACCTAGTCGTAGCGAATCCATGTGCATATCCCATGTAAAATCCAAATGAAACCCACCTTAAACTCGACTTCTCCAGGATGAAGGACGCCCTCAACGAGGCCTTCGCTGTGGCGGACGTGGCGAAACGCTTGCGCCTCGCCCTGGGAGGTGCCGCTGAACTGTCCGAAGACTGTCCGTGAACAGTTTGTAATCAACCTGCACCTGAGGTCCATAGTTCCTTGGAGAAAGTACAATAAGAACGTATATTTCCAAATATGTATGTCTGTGTATCTGTATATGTATACAATCAACAAGTCGTGTATGTACTTCATATATATATATATATATACATGTATGTCATGTAACGTAGTTGATACAATGTATGAATGCAGGTACACATGAATGCATAGTTGGGGTTACGTACAGAAAATTTGAACATAAGCCTGAAGGGCTTGGAATCCGCTTGACATGACATACCCAGTAAGTTGGGTTTACTGGGGCGCCCACTTCTAATTTCCCAGCAAACCATCATTTTGGAGGATCTGGAAAGATAGTTTTCTATGGTTTCATTTTTTTGCAGGCGGCTTGGTCCAGCTATCATATTTTGAAGTGTCCCCATTGGCACTTGAACCGGTACCAAGTTGAGTCTGAAGCTTGACAGGACACGATGACATTGTGCTGGGTGAAATTTTGAAGGAAGCGGAGAAGAATGGCATTTGGCTCAGAGAAACAAGCTGGATCTCAGCCAACCGATGAAGATAATCCTGGTGCATGAAGCTGTGGGCATGCTGTTAGATAACCTGCAATGTTGATTGCTGATAATATGAGATTGACCAATAAACATACAACTGGGCATTGGATGAATTGTGATAGATAATGGTAGATTATGATGGTCTTGGGTAAACACCACATTGATAGCTTTATAATGCGTTATACATATACATTAATCTATGTTGATTCATGTGAACATGTTGCAGGACTCTATATCTGACGCTAAAAACCATAGCTAAACCATAGTTAAACCAGTAGATCTTCCCATGGATCCAATCCAGTGACATGATTATCATGATTCAGGGGAAATTTCTAAGAGGTGTAAATTAGGATTTCATCATCTTCAATTGAAAAAAAGTTGTTAAACCATTTGTAGCTTGGAAAATCTTCAAAGCCAATGGATTTTTCAACAGCCGAGGCTTGACGGGCCTTGATGGCCCCAGGCAGCGCTGGGACGAAATGCAGAGTGCCAAGTCTCGGCCCTGGAGTCCCTGGAGCAAGTTGTATTACCAAACCTGGGAATGGAAAGTGGAAATAAATCATCCATGAGAATTGATCATAGTGACTATGATACGCAACATGAGAAATCAATGATCACCAACCTTTAGTTACCAATAACCATGGACAATGGGGAACATGAGGGACGAACAGCGGAGAATGGAGGGTAATGCTGGATAACCAATGATCATCAACCATGGTTAATAGGAAGATCATCTAACAATGGGGAAAAATGCGAAGATTTCCCATGACCAGGTTTGATTGCCAGCTGCCTACATGCCAAATTTTTGAGCTTTCAGAACTAGTCCTTGAGGCTCCCTGGGGTCTTGTTAATCAAAACTTGCGGATTTTGGTTTTAAACAACATGGACATTATGTCACTATTTTTGATATCCCGGATTCTCCCTATACGACCGTATTATCCCCATGTCACATATCTATTCCTGGGGGGCTCAATGATTGACATCCCAGGTTATTCCCCATATCTTCCTCACTTCCCCATAGTTGACCACTTTTCCAATTCCAATGGGCCTTCTGTCCCAGGTCTGCAATGCGCCTCGAACTCGCGACCTCGGTTGGAGAGCTCAGCTGCCTTGTGGCTGGCTGGGAAATCCTGAACTCAATAAATGTTTATAGCAGGGAACATCATCAGTAAATGGGTGATTTTCCAGCAAGACATGTTTGATTACCCGAAAGTAATAGGATTTTCCGTAATGAATTGTGATACTTCCCAACTCACCCCTAGACTAATCAACCAACAGGGGTTTTGACTTTTGACCATTCATTTGAGATGAGCTATCACAATTGACATAGGTTTCAATGAATACATTGCCACAACATGGGTTTTCAAAAGAACGGTGGCCTCTTGCGGCTTTTCACAGGTCTCCATGCTGGACATTGCAGCGTTTGAGCTGCATGCCAGCCGCAACATTGCGCAGCTGCAGGATCCCCAGCCCATCGTCATAAGGTGACCAAAAACGATCATCAAATATCTACACATAGAATACAATACAAGGCACGTGTATATATATATATATTATACAATGGTCACATATGATTATTTCAAGTATGTGATATATATATATATACATGTTTGCTTGTTTCTGTGGACTTGTAAATGTCACCATATAAATAAAGGTGTTGACGTATATATAGATATTATATATTATATATATATTATATATTGTATATGTTTTTGAATATATACACATTATATCCTGCATATATTATATATATACAGTATATACACATACAAGTGTGTGTGTGTGTGCCGACCCCTGAATCAAAGGGAATGTTATGTTGATTAGTTCAGTTCGGACTACATGTTCTAGATAGCTGGCACGAAGAAACCCACTGCACCGTGAGGCATCTTGCGAAATCGCGGAGAGTGGTTCGACCGTAGATTTACGAACTTGCAAGTGTATCGAAAAACATCATAACAGCTGAGCATGTTCAACCCAGTTCGCAGCAGTCTTTGCATGTATGTTGGTATAAGATCCGAAAGGTCAGTGCCCAGCATTGCCTTGGTGACCTGGTAAGTTTGATGATTGTCCTATCACGCGCCACCAGCATGTTTCTTCCTCAATCCGTGGATTTGCGTGTCTTGTGAGTGAGTGTATGTGCTGAACCCTGAATCAAAGAGAATGTTCTGGTGATTAGTTCGGTTGGGACCACATGTTCAAGGTAACTAGCGCGAAGAAGTCCATGTTGCATATAAGTTCCAATCCGACACATCTGTGCATCTTCAGGCGTGCAGCACATGGGTTTCGATCGTTCGTTTTGAATTAGTATACCAACGAGCAGGGGCATTGGGCACTCCTTGGCAAACCCAATGCAATGAAGCTATGCCTTGGAGTGGGATGCACGGTCTGACCAACCGTGTGTACCTGCAGTAATCTCAGTATGGCAACTGGGCAAAGCCGAAAACCCAGCATGAGGAAACATGAATTTTCATTTCATCTCACTTCATCGTCTCCCTTCGGGGTGTTTCTAAGTGTGTAGTGCTTTTCACGCACCTGGATTTCTGATACAGTGCCAGGGAAGCTTGGCGGTGCGCCCGCTGGGGATACCAGATTTTGTTCAGAGTTACACCGCGCCGGTTGATCCAACGGAATTCGGTTCAAAGGTGTTCGCACCTTATCATGCTACAGAAGTAGATCTCGCACCATGCGTCAAACCACTGCACAGATTCACTCTTCAGAACCAGATTTGATACCAGATCTTCGAAGCCAGATTTTTCCATCAGATTCCTCCTCAGAGTTTTCATTTCAGAATTCCTCGTGTCATTCCCCCTAACAAGCTTCAACCACAGTATTGTTTCATTTGATTCCGCAGTTGAGTTTCACCAGTGGGCAAGTAGCCGCGTTTGCGCTTACCTCATGGAGCATATGCCGTCGTCAGCAGACTGGATGTATCGACACATGTTTGGGACACCACCGTGGACACCAAACACACAGACACCACCAACAAATTCATACCCAACTCCTCAGCAAGCATTATCAACAACATCTCAGCTGACCATGCCAACAACATCCACAGCAGCGCCATTTGCCATAAACTCAACATTTCCAGTTTCAGTTCCAGCAGCACAGCAGCAGCTCTATACACCAACACCTACTAGCCCGGCACATATGCACATGATTCCAGCCACAGCATCCCCAGCACCTTTTCCAGCTTACCAACCACCATTGCCAGCAGCAGCTCCTGCTACATTGTTTGGAACAACAAGCCAAAACTATCCAGACTTCCTGACTGGCTCCCTTTTTGACTATGGACAGCACACATCGCCAGCACATCAACACACAGCAAAACCCAGCCACACAGACAATATCTTACCATCACTAGCCACACAGCCACCTGTTCATTCTACATGCGCTCAACCTCAACGAGTGGAACAACATTCACCACATCACGCCAGCCGGCGACGCAAGCGCTCAAATACTCCACGATCTAGGCGTGGGAGCCGAAGAAGAAGTCGAAGCACACGGCGTCAACATCGCCGACAATATCACCGCAAGTCACGCAGCAGAGCAAGGGCAAAACGGTCAGAACGAAATCCCAGCACATCGTCCAGACCCAGATCCAGACACGCTAAGCATCACCATCATCAGCGTTCATCCACTCGACGACAGCAACACCAAGCACCCACGCAGTCTGAGAACATAGCAAGCCCAACACCGCAGACACCAGCACACACAATAATGCCACCACCACTGCTACTGCCACCACCACTACCACCACCACTACTACCGCCACCACCACTACCACCACCACTATTACCACCACCACTACCACCTCCGCCACCGCCACCAGCGCCACAACCGACAACGGTGCCACCACAGACATTATCAGCCCAAGTCCTACGAGTGGCAACACGAACAGCCACTTCCAACGCCATACCGGCCAGTACGGCGCCACAACCCAGGCACGGATCCACTACTACAGCAACGGCAACATCATCTAACTTAGCAATGACACCAACAACAACACAAGACCACTCCGACGACCCACTTGAAGCAGCTGTTCAACGCAATATCGACAGCAACACATCCGTACTTACACCATGGCAGCCGCCAATCAGAAACCATTACCACCCGTTCAATTACAAAGCACTTCAGCAGCGCTTGCACTCAGCAGCAGCACGTGCTCAGGAACTCACCCCCCCATCAGTGTACTTTCGTTTTTTGCAAGACAGAGATAGCAGTGTTCGTGAAATTGCTACCTTGCTTGAAACATCTTTCCCACCAGGGATTGACCTACCACAAGAACACATCATTCATACACTGTCAAAATATATTGTTACAACTGGAATGCCTATCCAAACTACGCTTGCCCGCATCACGTTCCACCAGCATGACAAATACCGAGTGTGGCAATTACACCTACGCAACATGCCACGCAGCACCTCTACAGCAATGTCGCAAGCAAGCAACTGCCAATACCATTGGGCGCACGCCACCAGTGAAACAGGCTTCTTAGGAACTTTACTGTACGGGATGGTACTACCAACATGTTCTGAAACAATGTCAGGCAGGCAATCTCAAGGCTTCTTCTGTGCAGCAACAATGGATGAGAGCACCATCGTTCAAAAAGTAGTAGACCGCTATCTCAGCGGAAAGGCACATGTTCCTTTTGTACTTGGCGGTACCTTGTGGGCAACACACAAAGCCGTCCCAAGCGGGGGCACATACACAGAGCAGGAAGAGGTCGAGACGCATGGCATCGTACATCGGGCAAGGGACAAAAGGTGGTGTATCCACGCTACGATAGCATCCATTCAGTCCATTTGGATTCTTGAACAACAAGCACACACAACAGAGCCACCGCAAAGTGATCTGATGCGTGAAGATGCTCCGCGGCTGACTTTACAAACCGATGTGGAAATGAGAGGTTATTAAACCTCAGCTCTTGCCCCGTAGTTTCACCAAGTGAACAAGCGACAATATGTTCGTTTTTAAACGGCAAACCAGGTTTGCAAATTCTTGTCACAACACATTTTCACCAGCTTGTTCAATACAGAGTCCATACCACACGTGAGGTGAAAAAAGGTGAAATTCGCACCATTTACGACAATAGGTTGACCTGGCTTTTGTTGTGGATTTTATGCGCGTGGTTGAGTCCTTCAACAAACATGTAGGATTGACACCATACTACCATCAAAGGTTTCATGATTAGTTCAGCATAGACAGAACCTATTGCTTTCATTAGTTGGTTTCAGCAGAAGTTTATAGCAGCTTGATAACGTGCAAGTGTGAGCAGAGCAACTTTGCTCACACACACCGAGCGAGTCGTCCGTGCGTTGTACAGATTATGATGTCCTTTAACCTTCAAGCAGCAGTTGCTATTGGAATGTCTTGAAAATTGAACTGTTTCTTCAGACTGAGCTAATTCGTGCTCAAGTACCGCTCCGATCGTTCTTTCATTGTACAGTCATGTCGTGGCGAAGCACCAGCAGACCGTGGAACTGGCACCAGCACCAGCATTCAGCACCGCACACACCACCACGAGCAACATACCAGCATCCTGACTCACAGTACCGACATGAACCACCAAGCCCACAAGGAACCAAACAGTTCAACCGAGACATACCAGCCAATTTCCAACCTGATGCCAACCACTTTGACACCAAGCAACAGTATGGCCTTTCCTTTCCTCGCCAAGTCACCTCAACAGCCTGGAGTCAGAAGTATCATCTAGCAGGAAGACCCATTGACTCCGTACGACTGTATGAATTGGCGTACCTTGGTTGGTCCAACTGGAGCCTTCGAGCCTTAGCCAATGGCAAATTCACATCACTTGTGTTTGCCCGCAGCATCAAAGAGTCCATTTTCTTCCACCATTTGTCCATGAAACTTCGAGATGAGCATATGGATTTAGATGACATTGCAGCAGCATATTGCCAGCAGCAAGGTATTGCGATCACCGATCCAGATCCCAATCAACTCAAAAAAGCCAAAATTCACCACCTTGTGAATTCCACAGTGGATCATTTCCGGCAATTCTCCAATACAAGCTTACAAGAAGCCCAAGACAAAATTCGACAGCTGGAAGCACAGCTAGCAGCAACCCAGACCATTTCCCAGGTACCCACTGACGAAGAGCAAGCCGCATCCCCACAACCTCACCCGCCAACCACACCTGATGAAGCACCACCGTCACCAACACCCGCACGCAAACGAAAGCCCGACACATCCAACACACAAACGGCCAAAAGATCGCGCACTTTGACGGACATGGGGATCACCAAACGGCCGGGCAACCATGACACCAAAGACACACAAAGAACACGCAAACACACAACCTCACCCACTGCCGTACCGGCAGCGGGCGCACATGATGTACCAACCAGCACTACTCTTGGAGACCTTCAAGCCAAAATCACGCAACTCCCTGGCACCAATACTGTCAGGCCATTTGCCTCAGCATCGCCCAACAACAGCACGGCCAAAACCGTTGATGCCTGGATCAAAAA